GGGTGTAGAGAAGTGGTTCTTATCTTGCTCCACAATCCGCTACCGACGATTATAATAATAAGATATTGCAATGAATGTAAATAAGTCATTAATCCCTTGCTATGGGGATCTGGCCCGGAGAATCGATACTCGCGGACCACTCGCGTCTATCGCGCCGTTACGTAACACGAGAACCGAGTCGGCTGAAACGAAAATCATTTCTGACGGCTAGCGATAAGAGCGAGCCTTCCGTCTTTTCGCGGGGCAATCACGTTATTACTTTCTACAACGAGCGATAAACGTATGCGCCATCGAGGAGTCTTTGAAGGAAAAAGAGTACATATACATGTACAAAATTTAAAAATAATTAATAAAAGGTTTCACAGAGCGAAAGTAGGCCACGTTCGTATCGAATAATTTTACAGAAAAATGCCAATAAAATCTGTGGAAATTTGCTTCTTCGCAATAATAATATCATTTTATCAGTTTTAAATTAAGAGCGAATATAATGGAGAATGATAATTAGTATTTATTTCTACCGATATAGATTAACATTATCTTTGTTTAACTTATTTTTTATCCTTTTCTAGTTTTAAGAATCAGAAAAAGATAAAGAGTGAATTAAGCCGAGATTAAAATTAAATTACATTGATAGAAATGGACATGAGTCATACTTTTGCAATATAAAATACTTCAATCACAGAAAGTTTTTATGATGCGATCAAATCAAATAATATTTACAGCATTTGTTCTGCGATTACTTGGAAAATATCTCTAACTATATAGGACATAGACTTCCAAGAACTTCTCGTAACTTCTTCCGGCAGAAATTACATGGAAATGTACTTCTGGGAAGTGCTGCCGAAGGGTTGCGACGATCAGAGAGATGGGATTATCCGAGGGATGCATTCGTTTGACAGGGATAACACGTCGGGCTCGCAAGGTCGTGCGATCCTCGTCGCAATAATGCTGTGACGAGAAACGGCGCAGCGATACTCTGGCCAGCGAGCTGTCCAACGTCGGTTTATGCATACCGAGGGCCGAGAGAATCGCGTTCACGTGTACCTACGAATGTGGGTCGAGAGTTTAATACGGTAACTTTGAATATAAAAAGGTTGCGGCATCGAGAGCTGTGTGCAAGAGTGTGGCTTTGTCACACATACAGATGATGTAACGCATTATTGAACGGTGTCGGTGAGTATGCTAAATTCGATTGTGCGGATGTCGTATGCGATGTAAATTTAACATTACGAAAATACGCTCGTGTATATAATTTGCATGTAAAATAAATAGGAAGAATAAATACTTTGGTTCTTATAAATGGTTAATGTTTAATCTTATTTCGTTAGAAACTTTAAAGGAAAGACCGAGCGAGCGAGCGAGCAAGAGAGAGAGAGAAAGAGAGAAAGAGAGAGAGAGAGAGAGAGAACAAAATTACTCTGTGAAAAATTTTTCGGCCAATCCAAGTATATATTATACATACAAAATTCAAAAGTATACATTCAAAATTCAATTAGGGTAACTATTATGTGTTCCTATTACGTGTCTGTCTCTATTAGTGTTGATATTTAAATAATCCATAAAGAAAACACGCTAGTAATGTATAAAATGTTGCTCCAAGCGTACCCAAATTGGGAGATCAAAAAACCCACAAAAATCATCAAAAAACTCACAAAAATCATCAAAAAACCCACAAAAATCATTAAAAAACTCATAAAAGGACTAGAAAAAATGAATTCTTATTCAATTTTCAAGACTTTTTTAAACGAATTTCAAATCTCCCACAATACTCAAACCATCATGAAAGTTTCCAAGCGCCAATTCTTGTGGAGAGACACCATTTTTGCAGAAAAAAAAAAGTAAAAATTAGATAAAAACCTTTAAATTCTCTTCATTTAAGGCAAAAAACATATTTTTTATTTGTATCAAAAACATTATAAAGTATTAACATTTTTTAGATTAAAGAAATATCATAAAAGAAATAGTTGAAAAATCGATATTAATTTCAAGCAAATAAAATTAAAGCTATAATATTTAATAATTAATTCAGTGATAAGCAAATTGGCTTAAATGCACACTAATAAGAACAATTACCCTATTCCGAACTTCTAATGCGTACAAATATAAATAATTAAATAAAAAAATATTTAAACATAAGAATATATTTAAATATAAGAAAAAAAACAAATGAACCAAGTTAAGTGTAAATGTAAATGTAAAGTTAAGATTAAATATATTTTACTCATATAAAAAGAATAAAAATCGACTTTAAACGTTTCGACGTTTAAAGTAAAGTCTCACATTAAGTCATCCTCAGTGAACCACTAACGCAATACAATAGCCCGGAAATTAAAAATTACAGTAAGTCGCTTTCAACATGTAAAATGGAATGTTAATCGCTCGGAACTTCTTGAATGCATTAATGTGGAACTTAGCCTGTATAGTCGTTGCGCGTGTTATGATAAAATTTATTTTATACTGTTCGTAACGTGCTCTTGAATATCAATCGGAAACGGTTGATAAGTGTGTCGAAATAAATAAAATAAAACAAAAAAAAATATATATATATAATA